AAAAAAAAATAAAATGAGAAATGGGTTTTCAAACCCCACGCAAGTGTGTGTGTGTGATCGGGTGGGGGTGGGGGGGCGACCCTCCCCCACCAATCAATCAATCAGTCAATCAATCAAAAAAAGAAAAAAAAGAAAAAAACTGAAAAAAATCGTTTTTTTTTTTTTGCCCCAAAATTATCCGCTCCCCCTCAAAGAATCCCTGGATTCCGCCCCCCCCGTTTTTGAAGTTTTTATATATTTTTTTTTGCAAGGGGGCAGGGGACCCCTCCCCGACTCGAAACCCACTCCCTGCTCCCAAACCCCCCTCCCCGATCGGCCACTGCCGCGGCCAAAAGTTCTCGGCCGGAGCAGCGGGGGGTCCCGTCCACGGCCGGCGGCTGCGGCTACGACCGAACTCGGCCGCGGCCAGGGGGGAACATAGAGGCTCACCACCCTGTCATGGATTCCAATGTCTATTTCCACACATCGTCCCTTCGGTATGCAAACTTGAAACCTCTGCAGGACCCTTTCGAAAAAACTAACAGGGACATCTTTTAGCCTCAACTCCCTTTTCAATGACAGTACTCTCCCTGGGATCTCACTACAAACCGAGGTGTTTCGATCGATACGATGCAAGTAACTGGTGATCGCAACACTCTTCTGCTGCTTACTGCCCCAGGAGAGAAAGGACTGTCCGGTTTGAAACTCCAACACACCTAACGTCCAAATGCTCTCCTCATTTCGCGACATCTGCACACAACCCAAATACGGGTACAGACTTGAGCACCTAACTTCGCACCTAAGGAAATCGGATTCTGAAATCCCAGTGTCGTCATCAGTGCGTTTCAGACACATGTTACGTGGGTAGCAGGTTTCAAACCACTGCAACACCCATTCCAATCTTTCACCCGACAGCGAAGCCACAATCAGAATCACATCATCCATTAGCCTAACCCCAAACATCAGGCGCCCATATCGGCCCAGGCTCCTCAAATACATAGCCTCTGCATAAGCACACATGATGCATGCCAGTGCAGGGCTGGTACTCTTTCCCATGGGAATACCCACATCCTGTCTGAGCAGCACCGACGTGGCAAATGTGTATGTGTGTCTCAGGTCAATTAGAATAAACTTCCTCAGGTCCTCAAAATCCACCCTCCTCCAGTGGTCTGCCCCAGTTGTCAGCCCGAAAGATGCACCTTTGCCCCTAGTATTCACCCTGACAAACACACATCCCTTCTTCCCGTGATAATCCAGTAGCCATTCTACTGCGTTAATGATATCGCTATGGGGTAAACGACTAAACATATCCTTGATGTCAAACGATCGTGTTGTGATCCTGTTTACGTGTCCAGTCCGCTTGATCTTACTATTGACCTTATCCAGTCTCTCCGTCAGCAGTGATACAGCTGAGAGGTTGAAATGACAGCCTGATGGCAGTCGCGATAATAAGAAATTTAATCCTCTCGCCACGCCCCAACCGGTGCGAGCCATCGGTTCGCTGAATGTTGGACATATCGGGCGATATCTTGTCAGATCCTTGTGCTTAGGAATTACATATGCCGACCCCAGCTTACCTTTACTATCCCAACGGACAATTTTTTGCAGCCCAACATCTTTCATATCTTCTCTGACTTCCCGAAGCAAAACAGTTTCAGATACCTGCATCACAGTATATCCTGAACTCCTAACGAATGTATTCATCATAGAATTATAGTAAATCTTGGGGCACATGGCAACCGTCTCTCCCGGATTCCTATCCAACGGCGTCAGCACCAGACCCTCCAATTGTCCCCTCAAGTTCTCGACATCGGATACCAATAGGTGAGACGTCACATCCTCGCTATCTTCATGCATGCATCTAGCCAATCTTTCCAACGATATACTCAGTTTATCCCCACGATAGTTTCTTCAGCTCCGAAAGCCCAACTCAACTTCCAATCGTAGGGAAATCAGACGGTCTACTTGTTGAGATCGAGGAATATTATTAACATTCGCCAGCAGGGGCTGATCTACCACATCCTTCTTCATGCGAAAGCCGCAAAACAACACGTGCCCATCCACTCGGGGATAGGGTAGGCCTGTACACTGACAGGTCAGCACACTACGGGAAGCAAATGCCCGATGATTGTGCAGGAGCTCGCCGACAGTCCGGTTTTTCTACAGACAATCCGAGCTTTCTTACGCACTCGACGCATGAAACATGTGGGTAAGTCAAGGTCAAACAGAACGTCGTTGACTACCTTACGAAGTTTACAAGTACTGATCCTATCATCAAACTTCACTCTAATTAACAGGTCAGAACTAAGACTAAGGTTAAACTTGTCAAGAAACAGTCGTGAAATTATTTTTCTCAGGTACTTCCTCGTTGACTTCCTCGAGAAATCTTTGATCGCATTGTAGAGCCGTAGCAAGGATCACATGTCCCACCTATAGAATTTCCCAATAACACCTGGATTTTTTAGGAGGGAGATCAGGAGTTGCTTCAGGTATCCACACCGAGGCTTCCATGACACAGCACAATCGACAACAATACATCCCCCACTTTCAAACCACGCCTTACAGTATTTCAGCTGTCCAGATTCGGAACCGCGACGTAACTTTGTCGTTCCGAATTTTCACGAGATATTCTTCCATGTTGACTGCCAGACGTTGCCTCTGCTAGTGTGGATAACGAAATTCCTATCACCTACAGACACGCGTTCCTTCAATATGGCATACAGATCTAAACGCCAATCCTCCGCTTCATTGGTTCGAAAGCGAATCGGTGCTACGACACGTAGCCTCTCTTGCGACTGGTTCTGCCGCCTCAACCTCTCCTTCTTCCCTACAGTCCGCCCCTTCACAGCTCTGTTCCATCCCGTACGGACCCTAGCCGTATTCAGATACGGAGACCACTGACGAATATACAAGCTCTCAAGTTTAGTCAAATCGTCATTAACTATCATATCAACAGGTATCAAGGCATAGTTACATACACCGGAACACCCCAACCAACGATAGAAGTGGTTCAGACTCTTCTTACGGCTCGCGTACCCACGGTACCTGTGTTCCCGCCAACGCACGTCAAGGTGCCTCGAGGATTTACCTATGTATAGAGACTTGCAGTAGGGAGACACGACTACATACACGCTAGAAGTCAGATTGACGAATTTCGTCCCAAACAGGTCAAACAGGCGTATCCAAGCTTCGACGCACTTCCGAGTCCATCGGAAGGCACCATACAACGACAAATTGACAATCGCCAATCGGGGCAATTCCTCTATCCTACCATCCACCCCATTAATCAAGGTTCGAATCTCGATAAAGAAGTGTACGATCCTCCACAATTCGGCAATACTGAAGCGGTTGAGCCACATCAGTCCGTAGAAGTCTTACCCTCATCCTCGGCAGTTTCCGCGGTGTCATCCTGAGGTGGAGTACCTTCATCGTCTTCGTCAGAACCATATGCTGCGCGCGTACGGTGTGCCTCAATATCGAAGATGGATTCGAACTTGCCATTATATGGTATACCTTCGTCTTTGCAGATGTTCTGCAGCACCAGGGCGTCAAGGCTCTTCAAATCGTTCATCACCTTCTTCTCGAATCTCAATCTCCCAACTAAGCCAATGGCCGCTGGAGTCTTCTTTCGGATAGAAGGCGGGGTCTTCTTAGGAGTCGGTGTCTTTGCTGCACCCCTCGTTCTCGTCACTCTCCGTGTTCCATAACCCTGTCCTCGGGCACGACGAGGCGTGCGTTTAGGTTGTAGTTCCATAGGGGGGCTGCCCTCGAATACTGGTTCTGGTCCCCTTTTCCTCTTCTCCGTAAGAGACAGGTTGCGTGTACGTATGTTCAGCTCCTCGGTTTCGCTGCTGCTGGCACTGCTGGCAAGTGATTCTGACTGGGCAACCTTCTGTTTACCACATGCCACTCCCGTACAGAGCTCCCCGATCGCATCCCGGATCTCCTGTCGTACGTCTTCTCTTACCTCCTCACGAAGCTCACCCACACGCATAGCCATCTTAATGTCCAAGCACTTGCGCATCTCATCCCTCTGCTCCGCTTCCTTGTGTGCTTTGGCGTCCTTCTTCTTCTTCCTCAGTTCGACTTCCCTACGCTCGGGTGCTGCACGCTCCTCGGCTTCCTTCTTCTCGGCTTTCCTCCGCTCCTTGGCTGTTTTTTTTATGCTGCTCAATTTCGACATATTGGCAGACGGATGCCACACTCTTCCCGATCTCGGCGACTCTAGATTCCAATTCATCACTCTGATGTGCACGCCTGGGATGATCAATTCTTCTCGGCGAACTCGATTCCCCGTAGTCACCAGCATTGCCCCTACCGAATTTAGAATTCCTCCGTGGATGAGGGCACTGATTTGCATAGTGCCCTGGTTCCCAACAATTAAAGCAAGTAGGGGGTCCCCGTCGTGCACCACGGTCGTAGTACCTGCTCTGATCTCTGTCGCTTCCGTACTCCCTGTCACGGCCATATCCACGGTGGCACGATGTTTTCCACCACGTTCACGGTCACCGCCTCCTTGATCGCGACCACTCCTCCCGTGGTCATAGTTGCTGCCTCCATAGTCACGATGATCACCTTGCCCCGACATATCACCGAAACTCTGTGCTAGTGGACGTGTATTCCTGGCATGTAGTCGGCTCCAAAAGAGTGCAAAGATGCTCAAGTCGAGCGAGCGACTGTAAGCATGATCATGAAACGTGCTCACCTCTCCCGACGAAAGCAACTCCAGGATCGTTCACACGCGCAATTGATAGTGTCAATGGATGTCTGATACAAAGTGTTCACACTCAAGTCGGACTCAAGAAGAGAGACATGAAGGTCAAACCACTCAAGTAGGACTCGAGAAGAGAGACACGACAAGTGAAATTACGAATCCTCGAAAATTACGGCAAACCAAGTCTTCCAGTCTCCCAAGAACCCCCAAACCTCCCAAGAACCCCCAAACCTCCCAAGGACCCCCAAACTTACCGCAAACCCATCGTCCACCGCCGCCTAAGTGGAAGCGGGCGAACCGTAAGAGGTCGATGGTATCGTATTCACCCTACATATAGTATCAGTCATGCCTTGGTCCAAGGAAAACGCACAGCCCGGTCGGCGGTCCTAAAACAGGATCCGGTGCCGGGTCCAATCCAAACGATAAACTTTGTCCCTACCCAGTTCAAATTATCCTATGTATGCTCCGACAATTACTTTGTGTACCTTATACCAGGTTTGAAAACTATCTAAATAGCCGTACGCATCCGAGAGAAGTTCAAATCTACCTATGCCCGTATATTATGCCCGTATTCAAACCTGAAACCTGACAAACAAAGCACAGCCTGACAAACAAGCCAGTAGTGTCCTATGCGCTAGATAACCCCTGTCCAACCGTTTCTAAAACAAAGCACCCCCAACCCACCCTCTCCAGAAATTCGTTTTTAAAAAAAATAAAAATTCTGCAAGAGGTTGAGGTTGAAGTTGCGTAACGCCGCAACCCCAATCAACCCCCCCCCCCCCCCACTGGCCGGCACACGGCCTTGAAAATCCGCGGCTGTGCAGCCATGGCCGCGGTGGGCGCCTCCATGGGGGATCATAACAGAAAAGACATGCGCAGCGGGGAAGGAGAGAGTCTATGCGCTGAAAGTGCACTACATATAGGGTCACTGTCAGATACATCACCAAAAAACTTGTCGGAGAGGAGAAGAGCGTTGGCTATGTCAACGACGGTGGAGTACAGTGGAGTCAGCCCTTGGTAAACTGAAGTGCGAGTGCAGTGGCGACTGCAATCATGAGGAAGTGGGTGCGTTAGCATAATTAGGGCGCTGCGCGGCATCAGCAACGGCCCGCTGATCATCACCAGCACCATCATCAACAGGGCGCAGTTTGACACCATCATCACAGTCTGGGTTCGTCATCATCATCAGGGTGCTGCTCGTCGTCATCATCATCATCACCATCATCATCAGGGCGTGGTTCGACATCATCATCACGGTAATGGTTCGTCATCAGCATTAGGGTCATCACTATCATCATCATCAGGGTGCCTCGTCATCAACATCAAGGCATGGGTGGCGTCATTATCCACGCTGCTCATCATGATGACCATCATCATCATTGTGTCTTCATAGGGCGCCACTGGGGTTGCTCGTTATCATCATCATCATTGTCATTACGCCAGTATCATTACCATCATCAATAGTTCACCATCATAAGGCGCTGTTGGCGAAGCTGCTCACCATCATCATCACTAGGCTATCATCCAAGGTGCTCGTCATTAGCACCATTATCATCCTTTTGTCATCACAGGGCACGGTGCGTCATCATCATCATCATCATCATCATCATCATCATCATCATCATCATCATCATCATCATCATCATCGACATCATCATCATCATCATCATCATCATCATCATCAACATCATCATCATCATCACCATCATCAATTTGTAAATCATAGGGCGTCGTTGGTACTATTCTTCAGTATGATCAGCAACATCATTCTGTCTTCATTCTCATCATTACTATCATCATCATCATTTTGTTATCATTGGATGCTGCTTTTCAAGGCCTTGTTTGCCTTTCACATCAGCAGGTGAGTTGGTTGTCATCATCATCTTCATCATCATCATCTTTAGGATGCTGTTCATCGTCATCAGCAAATCCAAAAAAAGAAAACTCTCATCTTCCTTTCTTCATCATAATTCTCAGAAATTTCCTATTCTTTCACTCATATCTTAGGAATTTGAGTTCCTAAAACTCTTGAGGCTCGTTTTTTCTTTTCTCCACTATTAATTTCTGGTTCCCCTTCCGGCACATTAATGAATTATTTTTGTGTGGGTGGGGGGTTGGGGTTTTAAGGAGGAGAGCTCTACTCTGCAGGGGCTTCACAAGGTGGGGGTGGAAGTGCCCTGGAGGGAGTGGGGGCATAATTTTGGGGGTTGCCCTATTCTGGGGCTGGGAGAGATGTATGGGCTGACATCATATCCCAGCGGAGGCAGATAGGGGTGAGGGGGTGGCTGAGGCATACTTTGGGTGAAACTGGAAGCCTTAGTGGAAGTAGGGGGAAGAAGCAGGTATATCCCAAGTTGGGGCCGATAAGGAGAGCTTGTGATGAGGGCAGTCCTTTTCGGTGGAGGCAGCGGAGGGATAGGGGGAGATGTAGGGGAGGGGGGGAAATAATCTACAACAACGTTTAGAATTTTGGTTCTCCTCTTTAGTGTAAACAAATTACTTCTAGTGAGGGGGTGGGTTAGGGGAGAGCTCTACTCTGCAGGAGGGAGGTGATTGCCCTGAAGGGAGACGGGGCAAATTTTGAGGGATGCTCTATTCTGGGGCTGGGGGAGATGTATGGGTCAACATCATATCCCAGCGAAGGCAGATAAGGGCAAGGAGTTGACAGAGGCATACTTTGGGTGGGAACTGGATGCCTTTGTGGGAGTAAGGGGGGGAAATGGGTCTGTCCCAAGTTGGGCCCGATAAGGAGTGCTCGTGATCAGGGGCGGTCCTTTTCGGTGGTGGCAGCGGTGGGGCAGGGTGATGAGGGAAAAGGGGGGAATCTCTATATCCTTTGGTTGAATTTGGTTGGGACCTTTTCTGATTCTTCTTGGAATATTCAAAACATGCACCCTTGTTATTTCCTGGTAGTTTGAAGAATCTCTCAGGACTCTGAGGGACTGTTGGTGGTTT